TTTTTTGATTTTTTTCGTTCTTTTCTTTGCATCTTTCTTTTTTTGTTCTCTTTTTTGTTTTCTTTTGCATTTTTGCTTCTTTTTTTTTATATTATGAGTTGAAAATTCCGCAGAAACCTTTTGAGCTGAAAAGAGTGGGTTCTCCTTGCACTTTCTTGATTGTACTTCCAAACCGCAGTTACTACCTTTCCTTCCTGGCCATGTTCACAACTTTCCCTATTCTCCAACGGGGTGACAGGCTAGGTTGATTCAGTATCCAGAATCGAGGCGCATTCACATGCTATCTCAATCTATGGGGCTGCCATACAGATTTCAAGCCGAGGGCATGCCTCTGGGTATTTAAACCAGACTTTGGTCTCGGAAATCCCGAACCTTTACGTTCTAGGCATCGGCCATTCGAACTCTAGTTTCCACCGTCGCAGTTGGTCTCCTAGGAACTCATTGCGAACACGGCCAAGATGCCTCTGGCGGGGAATGGTACTCAGGGAGAGCACTTCTGATTACCATTTTGGCTTGAAGCAGACTTGATCTTGAGCTTAAGGTAGAGGCACACTCATACTTCGGAGCATTGGCAAGACCTGAAGAGGTACACACAGAATGTAGTCTTGGAACTTACTGAAGTTGAAACAAACTCAGATGCTCGACATTTCCTTTTTTGCTTTTGCTTTGTAGTCTAGAACCCATATAGCTTCAAATAGGTCCTAGTTTTGTTGTTCTGACATGACCTGGGTTGAACCCTGCGGTTTTATGAAAGAACGAATCTTGTTTTGCACAGATGTGGAGGACGGCACGGCACTTGGAGCGCAAAACGATTTTATTTTTGAATTGATAAATGAGCTTTTGACCGGGTATTGAGCCTACGACTCAACACAGCAAGACAACTCAACAAGGAAATAAAAGGCACACGACCTAGACACATCGAGTAACACTCGAAACGACTCAAAACAAGAATCGAGATAAAACAAAAAGACACGACACTCAGACGTGCACAGGGAGCCTGTTTCACCGGGTAGTGTTTCCCACCCTCTTTCATTTGTGGTCCTCACATCACTCGGCCCTCAAGCTCTGTTTTTTCTGAAGAAGCCCTCTTCTCACTTTTCCTCTCATCGCACATCTCTTTGTTCTTCAATCTCTCATTTCTCATCCCTCCCCTGGGTGGTTGATGGATAAATTCAGTTGTGCCCTATTCTGGCAGGTGGAGTGCCCTTCTTGGCAAGTAGGTTGACAATGGGAAAGACAAGAAGCCTGACTCAACTGCGCCCCTAGTTCATCATTTTGACCATTTTTGTTTTAGTTTTCTCCTAAAATTTTTTGACCAAAATGAGAGTTAGATTAACATGCTTGTTCAATTTTCTGATTTAAAATCATGCAAGTCAGGCCATGAGCACTGAAAATTTTCCGTTTTTGGGTCCAAGAAATGGTCCAGTTTTGAAAAATGGAATACTTTTCGAGAAGATTAGTCAACCTCAGTAAAAATTCTCAAAAGCTATTTTTACAAACGACCACTGCTCAACGAGCACGGAACCTACTCTCGAGATGCACAACCTCGGATCCATAGCAATGGAAAATTGCCCCTTGCTTGAGGGGAACCGCATGGCAACGGAAAGTTGCCCCTTGTTTGAACGGCACCGTGGCGCATTGAATGGCAACGGAAAGTTGCCCCTTGTCTGAATAGCACCGCAGTGCATTGAATGGCAACGGAAAGTTGCCCCTTGTTTGAATGACACCGCGGTGCATTGAATGGCAACGGAAAGTTGCCCCTTGTCTGAACGGCACCGTAGTGTATTGTAGTCAGTCCTCAGAGCGATGATTGCAACTGAACTCTCGGATACAGAGAAGGCAAAGATTATCAGAACCATTACATGGACATGATCGAATTTGAAGTGTTTTAGGGCTGGACTTCAGAATGAAGTTGCCTACGTATCCCAAAGATGGGAATCAAGCCTCACGTAGTTCGGGGTTAAGGTACACTCGGGTATTAACCTCTCCTTTTTAGGCTCTAACTTTTGCCAAGGCACCCGTTGCGGGTTTTCGACCTTGCGAGCCTTGTTCTTCTTTTCTTTTCAATTCTTTTCATTTCATTTCTTCTTCTTCTTTTTTTGCATTCTTTCTTTTTCCTTGCTCTAACTTTTGCCTGGGCCGCCCTTCTGGGTTTTCGGCCCAGCGAGCCTCTCAAGGGTAAAAGTGTAGCTTCGTCCATGTCAAATGGTTTTGAGATCCTGAAGTCATCTGAATCCAGGAGAATGGCTGCTGTTTTGCTTTGTAAGCTTCTTCTGATGGGATCTGATCTTCTTGACCTGACTCTTCTGGCCTCTTGTTTGAGGGCTGCTCCAAATCCGGCCACACAGGCCTCACATCATAGTTGACCGTTGAACCTTCCGAATTCAAGTTCAAGGTTTGGAAGCGAAGGGGTTGAGTCTTGAGGCCGAGAGCGATCCTAGGCTGCACAATCTCGAGAGCGATTCCACACAGGTCTTCGCAGGACCGCGCAAAACATTTTGTTTTTGAAAATTTTTAAGAAAGCGACAAATCGCTCGCGCTGAAGATAGTGTAAAACCAGTCTGGATCAAGCCAGGGTCCTTCTCAGTACTCACGCTAACAAGCATGATTTTATTCATTAAGGGCTTAGCACGCCTCTCTTTCTCTCAATTGATCAAAGTTTTGCAAAACCCGAGGAATTCCTTCTTCTTTGTTTTCACCGCAGTATTCGAAAAGTTTTGAAAA